TGGGCCCGAAGGGGTGGGGGCGGGGAAGGCCAGCGGTGGAGGGAGGAGGGCGGTGCCGCGCCGGGAGGCCGTACGAAGAGGCGGGACCGTGCCGATCTCCTCTCCTTATTAGCCCAGGTCCTGCGAGGAGTCCGTGTGCGCTCCGTACCAGCCTGGACCTGTGTGCGCGGCGCCGGGGGAGCGTTTACAGTGCAAGCTTCTGCTGCCAGGCCCTGGCCTGTTAGCGAAGCACGTGTGTATCCCATCACACCCCAGGTCAACAGGCTAATACACAGTGTCCACCCATAACACACGTGAGCACCCCAATACAGTGTGCACCCCAGCACACACATCTGCACCCCAATACAGTGTGCACCTCAGCACACATCTGCACCCCAATATAGTGTGCACTACAGCACACTGTCAGCATCCCAACACAGTGCACCCCGATACACAGTGTGCAACCCAGCACAGTCTGCATCCCAATAAGTGTGCACCCCAATACACAGGATGCACCCCAGCACACACCACGTCAGCATTCCAATACAGTGTGCACCCCAGCACACACCATGTCTGCACCCCAGTACAGTATACACACCAATACACAGTGTGTACCCCCAATAAACTGTGCACTCTAACACCATGTCTGCACCCCAGTACAGTGTGCACCCCAACACAGCACGTGTGCATCCCAGCAAACACATCTGCATCCCAATGCAATGTGAACCTCAATATAGTGTGGGCCCCCACACATCTACACCCCAATACAGTGTGCACCCCAATACACAGTGTGTACTCCAACACACACTATACCTGCACTCCAATACACAGCGTGTATCCCCCCCACCACACATAGCATGTCTGCACTTCAACACTCTCCTGGGGTCTCTGGATGAAATGACCAAAGCTAGGAAACTACATTCATCAGATATGTATAGCAGAAATGTCTGCTTGTGATTCATCTTAAGGTTAAAAGTTCCATGATCAGGTATCTTGAGAACAAAAACATTCTGAAAGTTACTCACATTATCTTGACAAATGTGCCTCTATTGGGCACGGCGCAGTGGCTCACGCCTGTAATCCCAGCACTTTGGGAGGCTGAGGTGGGCCGATCACCTGAGGTCAGGAGTTCGAGACCAGCCTGACCAATACGGGGACACCCCTGTCTCTACTAAAAACACACAAAGTAGCCGGGCGTGGTGGCGTGCACCTGTAGTCCCAGCTACTGGGGAGGCTGAGATAGGAGAATCGCTTGAAGCTGGGAGGTGAAGGTTGCAGTGAGCTGAGATCACGCCACTGCACTCTAACCTGGGCAACAGAGGGAGACTCCATCTGAAAAAAAAAAAAAAAAAAGGTGCCTCTATGGGTGTCTTGCAATACAATGTCTCAAAAAAAGAAAAAGTCCCCTTTGCTTTTCCAGTTGTCAAAACAGGAGAGGTTCCTGCTTTTTATTGTTGTTGTTGTTGTTTTGTTTTTTTTAGTTTGCTTTGGTGTTTTATTGAAAAGCAAAGGTTTAAGTAGAGACAAACAAGTATGTACCTAAAGTAGTTTCCCAATATCCTGGAGTCCAACTCTGCAATTCTGTTTCAAGCTAACTGTAGTCTAATGTAATCTATGGTCTAATTTAACAAGGTTAAAATGTTAGAATTACGAGACCATATTGTCTACATCAGTGCTAACCACTCATCTTACCTAACTACTCTAAATTCTCCTGAATATTATCACTTCTTTACTGCTTTGTTATTTTGTAACTTTCTAGTGCTGTGTGTATATTTATCTCCCCGAGTATCTTAAATTGTACGTTATTTTGAACTTCTCACTGTGCCCTGCACTAAGTTCAGAAAAGGACTTGGGTTTTATTTTGTTGTTGTTGTTGTTTTGTTTTGCTGTGGCTGGAAAAAAAATTTAAAAAGAAAGAAAAGGGCTTGTTGAATGTTGATGAATTAATCCCTTACACAAGGGGTTACTTGAGCAGGTGGGAAGAAATCTGAATAGTAAAATACCTGATAAAGCTGATTCAGATATTAGATGTGCCAGTAAACAAAGCAAATTAACAAAAGCTCAGCTGCAATCTGTGAGAACACATGGATTCAAGGAAATAACTGGAGCACAGATTCTGAAAGCAGCTTACACTGAAGATCAAATCTGCACATGAATCTGGACATCTGGCATATTTCAATTGTTCATAGAACATCATAATTTTTAAATTAACAATAGTATCTTCTGTCTTCATAAAATTCATGTAATGTTTTTAGCCCCTCACTGGCAGTGATTCTATTATGTTTTCTTTCCTTTTTGTTTTTTTGTTTTTTGAGACAGTCTTGCTCTGTCACCAAGGCTGGAGTGCAGTGGCCTGATCTGGGTTCACTGCAACGTCTGCCTCCTGGTTCAAGCAGTCCTCTTGCTTCAGCGTCCACAGTAGCTGAGATTACAAGCGTGCGCCACCCTGCCCAGCTAATTTTTGCATTTTTATTTTTATGTATTTATCTATTTATTTTTGAGACGGAGTCTCGCTCTGTCACCCAGGCTGGAGTGCAGTGGCGCGATCTTGGCTCACTGCAACCTCCACCTCCCAGGTTCAAACAATTCTCCCGCCTCAGACTCCCGAGTGGCTGGGATTACAGCGGCGTGCCACCACACTCAGCTAATTTTTGTATTTTTAGTAGAGACGGGGTTTCACCATGTTGGCCAGGCTGGTCTGGGACTCTGGAACTCCTTACCTCAAGTGATCCACCCACCTCAGCCTCCCAAAGTGGTGGGATTACCGGCCTAAGCCACCACACCTGGCCAATTGTTTTTTGTTTTTTTTTCTTGGAGTGCAATGGCGTGATCTCCTTGGTTCAAGCGATTCTCCTGCCTCTCTCTCACGCCTCCCAGGTTCAAGCAATTCTCCTGCCTCAGTCTCCCAAGTAGCTGGGATTACAGGCATGTGCCACCACCCCCAGCTAATTTTGTACTTTTAGTACAGATGGGGTTTCTCCATGTTGGTCAGGCTGGTCTCGAACTCCCGACCCCAGGTGATCCACCCACCTTGGCCTCCCAAAGTGCTGGGATTATAGGCATGAGCCACCGTGCCCGGCAGCCAATTCTGTTTTCTTAAGGCTTTTGGGGATCATCAAAACACGGATAAACATAACTCAATACCTAACGATGGCTAGAAATGTGATCTTTTTGCATATTGAATATTTGCAAGTTGAATATTAAGGTAAAGTAAAACAGATTGCTAATGGTCTTCATTACCATACCTCCCAGCCTACATCTTTCTCCCGCGCTGGGTGCTTCCTGTCCTTGAACATCGGACTCCAAGTTCAGTTTTGGGACTCGGACTGGCTCTCCTTGCTCCTCAGCTTGCAGACAGTCTATTGTGGGACCTTGTGATCATGTAAGTTAGTACTTAATAGACATATATATATATATATCTCCATCCTATTAGTTCTGTCCCTCTAGAGAACCATGACTAATACACCATATATACCTAAAAAGAGGATCCGTTTAATTGAAGTCACCTCCGTCTCCAATCTAGCTTAGAACAAGGAAGTGTGTTAATGATTCCAAAATATCATTAATGCCATTTCTTAATCCTTAATGACAACAATAACAAAATTGAGTTCTCGGTATTACATTTTATTTCAAGGCAAAATCTTGTAAATCTGAAGTAGAGTTGATTATGGTAGCATATGGTTTAGGGGTTTTCAAGTTTAAGATAAATGAGTTTGCATTTATTTTTTAAGCACTTTGAAACTTAAAGAATTCTATGCTTGGCCAGGCGCGGGGGCTCACACCTGTAATCCCAGCACTTTGGCAGGCCAAGGTGGGTGGATCACCTGAGGTCAGGAGTTCGAGACCAGCCTGGCCAACATGACGAAACTGCATCTCTACTAAAAATACAAAAATTAGCTAGGCATGGTGTCGGGCACCTGTAATCCCAGCTACTCAGGAGGCTGAGGCAGGAGAATCGCTTGAACCCGGGAGGCAGAGGTTGCAGTGAGCCAAGATCACGCCACTGCACTCCAGCCTGGGTGACAAGAGCAAGACTCCGTCTCAAAAAAAGAAAAAGAATTGTATGTTCATCTCTTATATCTGACTCTCATAGGTTTGAGCTTTTTCAATTAGTCTGGAAATATAATTTTAGAAAAAAATTTAATTTTTCAATGTTTATTTTTTAAATCCATTTGAAATTTCTGTTCTACAGAAAAGTTTTAGCATCCATTTTTGCAATACTCCACAGGAAACAAAACTGAAACAGACAAGATTCTACAACGTATCTTCAAAATTAAGCACCTTTCTTCAATGACATTTAAAATTCGTTATCACAGTTAATTATATCTTACTGCTTGGTCTTCTAAGTTTGTTCCAAAGAAGACAAAATATTTTTTGACTTTTTATCCCAAGGGGTGGGCTAAAAGTTTTATGGAATGTAAAGCTCCAAAAAACTTTTTACTACTGTATCCCCAGCACACGGACCAGTAGTTGGCACATGGTAGACATTCGTCAATATTCCTTGTTGAATGCATAAGATGCCTTTTTGGTTTATATGTATGTGAAGAGAATACAAAACATGAGAGGAACAAATTCATTATTCAGATTGTACTGTATTGTGATTTTTTTAAAAAAACGATAACCTAGGTTAAACTCCATCTTATCTTTGTAAGGGGTAAATTACTTCCAACTTTATTCTTGAGTTCAGATAAACACTATTCATTCTAGAGCCAATGATTACTAGGAATAGAAGAACCGGTCTATTTCTTACTATTGTACTTTTAAATTACTTATATGCTTTTAGAGGGAAAGGCGTAATTTTCCTTATTCAACTTTGTACTCCCTCTATACTCTCTATTCGACATAATGTTTGTTTCCACATAATGTTATCTTGTCGTAGTCTTTTTTTTCTTTTTTTCTGGAGATGAGTCTTGCTCTGTCGCTCAGGCTGAAGTGCAGTGGCGCAATCTCGGCTCACTGCCACCTCCACCCCCTGGGTTCCAGTGATTCTCCTGTCTCAGCCTCCAGAATAGCTAGGACTACAGGCACGCGCCACCATGCCCTGCTAATTTTTTTGTATTTTTAGTAGAGACAGGGTTTCACCATGTTGCCCAAGCTGGTCCCGAACTCCTGAGCTCAGGTAGTCCACACCCCGGCCTCCCAAACTGTTGGGATTACAGGCGTGAGCCACCGCGTCCGGCCAAGTGTTACAGTCTTTAGTGCAGACCAAGTAGTGGCCAATAAATCTTGTAGAAACGAAAGTACTCATTTGCTTTTAACTGGGCCAAGACTAGAATAGCGTGATCTGTAAGTAAAATAACAGCCATTTCCCCACATATCGAAGCAAAAGCTCTCCTGATGTGTAGGTGAGATGAAGGGGCTTAAAAGTGAAGATTAAACCCACTTCAAAGTGTAAAGAGTATCCATCCATTTATCATTGCAGCTACGTTCCAACGTGAACAATCCGATTCCAAGTACAAAACAACTCAATTCAGTCTCTTTGCCGTACTCACATCCATAGCACAAAATACCCTGCAGGGCGCTTGAATGAGCACCACTGCAGTTAATAATCTACTCTATAAATACTGGACGAATCCAAATTTTTACTGGATTACACAGAATACTTTTTTTAAAAAATGCAAATAGTTTTAGATGTCACAACAGGGTTCCATCAAATACCACGTTTCCAAATCTTACCACGAGAATGTGTATCCATTTCAACTGCAGTTATTTTGTGTCTAAAGCTGTGCACTCTGCTTTGCAACAGGATAAACCCGGTGGATAAAAGCTGAAATCCGACCCTGTCCAAATTAAAAGGCTAAGAAAAAGTGGAGAAGCGCGCTGGCGTGGAGTTGACACAGAAACACTGCAAGGGCTGGGGACAGGGCTTACTTAGGTTCGTGGAATACACAGGCAGCACCACCAACCCGGCTCTCCGGAAAAGAGAAAGTCCGGTGAGAAAGGTGAAAAATGACAAGGCACCGTTCTCCGACTTGGTGAAAAACACCCAATGCAAACAGACCAGGGTTCAGAGCGGAAGAAAACTAGCGAAAACCAGGCAGCCAAGCGTGGCGAGCACAGCTCTCGGGTCCACCCTGGAGTGGACCCGTGGCGACTGCAGCCGTGCGGAGGCGGAAGCCGAGGCCGAGGCCGAGGCCGAGTCCGCTTAGGGA